CTTCAACTTCATCAACATCAGACCACCCGACCTTCCGCGTCGATCGCCAAGCCAACGACTTCCATCAGCCCGCGAGTTCAAGTGAGCACCCCCTGTGTACCTTCGGGTGCTGCAGCTCCAGGTCGGCCCACGGTCGCATCCAAGTGGAACTCCGCAACACGGGTCTGGCTCTCGACCGCGGACGCTGCTGGTCGATCAAGTAGCTTGACGATGGACCACATAGAAAAAGAAACCCATAGTGGTAATCCCGGTAATACACCGCCTGACAAAGTCGTCTGGGTTACCTAAAGGGGTTCATCCCGTGCAACTTTGCACCTGGTAGTTCATGCTGGTCGTTAGTCATCAGCGACAAACATGCTTGCACCAGATGAAGACACATTGAGAAGGTGGCGACTGTTGGCACACGCGGATCTGCTACTCACGACGGGTGCTTGCACGGAGCTCGCGAAATCGACACGCTTGGGCGCATCGTGCTTTTTAGTCAAGGCGACAACTCTGAAGGAACAGTTTTAAGGTGTTTATTGATGCATGAATGGAAAGACACACGAGGTATTACGGTAGTATCCGACGCTCCGAGTGTGTCCAGTAGGGAATTCAAGATGCTTCCAGCGACGAAGCGAGCGACCATTAAAGTCCAAATAAACCTCGGTGTACGTCGACACGGGAACAGGGCTTGTATTACTACTCTACAAAGATGACTTGTGCGCACTTCCAGGTGTTGACGCGGATTGCAAGAATCGTCAATCCTCGCTTCACTATCAACCTCGAGATTCCACATACATACTTTCGTGTCATGTCAACGCACCCCGATATCAGATCGAGTCGCAGATCCGTAGCTCCTCACTGTATAACGTGGCAACAAAACTGGTGGTCCTTCACGTGTTCTCGTCTCAGTTCGCACCGCCGGGTCATCACGTCGTCGTTACGTCGCACGACAAGTTGTCGCAGCCACGAATTCGCACAGATGAGTACATATATGTCGCGCTCGCCGTTCGGACGTGACGTTTCGCGACACACATGGCACAATTGACAACCGTTTTGAGATTTCCGAAACCGGCCGGCGCGTCCGGATCTACGGCACTTCACGACTAGATGCGATCACACCATACCATTTGACATTTGCCGATCCCCATGGCACGTTGGTTCTGTGACTACTGGCGCATCGTGATCCCGCCCAAGTCGCTCGCCGAGATCGACGCCGAGCGCTGGCTGCTCGTGTGCCCTTTACCTGGCGAGAGGTCGTGCCAGTGCCGGCCGTTCTTCCGGTACTACATTCTAATCGCCGCCGCGCTTGTGCAGTTTGTCTGCGGCGTCCTCTTCTCCATGACCATCATCTCCAAGCCGTTTGACTTGAACGTGTTCGGCGCGTCCACCAACAACCGCAACGCGCAGCTTACGATCGAGAGCAGCGTCGCGATCGCTCTCGCCATGGCCTTTGTGGGCCCGGCCAACGAGCGCCGCGGGCCGCGCTGGAGCATGCTCGTCGGTAGTAGCCTCGCGATTGTGGGTCTGTGCGCGATCCAGATTGCACTCTGGGCACGGATCTGGGCACCGCTGGTCGTCGGCTGCATCGGCTGCGGCCTCGGCTATGGTTTTCTCGTGATTGCCGCCGTCTCGACCGTACAGAAATGGTACCCAGATCTGCGCGGATCGGCCCTCGGCGTGAGCATGCTGGGCTTTGGCGCTGGCCAGATTGCGTGGAACGCGGCGTTCGATTGTGTCCGCGACCACCTCGCCGACGAGATGGTGCTCAACACGACGTTCCTCTTTGTGATTCTGCTCCTCTCGCCGCTCCTCGCGTTTGGAATCGTTGCGATGCGGACGCCGCCGTCGAGCTTCCGCGTGCACGGCCACGACATGCACGGCGTCCCAACCGAGGCTGTGCCGAGTTCGACGACGCTCCAAGACGACTACTACAACATTGGCATGACCCTGGTCAACTACTCTGCGCTGACGCTGCCGCGTCGGGACGGACCGGTCGCGGGCACGGAACGCGCGTACCACGAACAGGTCCGGGGCTTGACACTGCTGCAGTGTATTTTCTCGACCGACTTTCTCTGCCTCGTGGTCGCATCGGCCGCGCTCGCGTGTACGGGGCTGCTCTACGCCGAGATCTCGGACCCGACCGACGCCGACCGGATTCCACGTTGGTTCAACACGACGAGCAACGAGAACGTCCGGCTACACGCCGACATTGCGGGTCTGCTAAGCCGCGTGGTGTGCCCGATGCTCTCGGATGCGATAAGCAAAGCACTCTACTGGAACCCGGCGTTCGCGCGCAAGGTGGTGTTTCTCTTGCTGCTGTTGCTGCCCGCCGTGTCGTTGCCGCTCCTGCTCGACACCCTCGACGACTTTGCTCGGCTCAAAACCATGATTTACATCGCCAAGACCGCCGCGAACGGCGGGTTTGCGGTCATCGGCTGCTTCCTCACTGATCTCTACGGCGTCTACAACATGAGCACGATGTACGGGCTCGTGCTCGCGGGCTGGTCCCTCGGGTCGGTCGTCGTCGCAGTGCGCTTCTCCGGCGACCGCACCGACTACTTTGATCAAGTGCAGCTCATTTGGGTGCTCTGCCTCGTCGGGTTTTGCCTCATGGTCTTTGTCCGCACCGACAGCATGGACCGGTTCTACCACGGCTACCAGCTCTCGATCTGCGGCAAGACGGTGCTTCAAATCCCGTTCAAGCGCCGACCTGAGGCGTCGTCCACGGTGATGGACCCTTGCAGCTTGAGCATGGCGACCTTGGGACGACTCAGCAGCAAGCACCAGCTCGTGTCGGCAACGTCGCTGAGCAAAACGATGAGCTTCAAGCACGATGGCGCGTTCTTTATTGTGCGCTCCGATTCCGAGGCCAGTGTCGGCCACTTGAATGTATGACCCGAGAGAAGGGCATGCGTTTTTGCCTATAAATTAGTAGTATTTACCCACCCAAGAGTGTTCATTGAGATACATGATTGAGATAGATCTGTGTACTGCGATATGGCGTCAAGTTACTGCGACGACGGAAGCGTAGACGACCCTACCTTGCATCACATGATACTTCCGTCGGCCCGGTTTCGCCATGTTTTGGATCGACAAGACGATTGCACGCAACGTCGCGCTTGCCTTGCGAGTGAGTTGCCGGCCGATAGTATATGGCCCGCAGCTCGTGGATCGACGACAGATATATATGGCTAGGCACGGTAGCAAGGCCCTCGACACTTTATGCTACGATACATACAGTAGCCGGGGCTCTACGCTGAGTAAGCTGGCGGCGAGAGCCCCAAGCGCCAGCATGCACGGACGATGGCTGTTGCCTGGGGCTTCATCACGATGTATCCGGAATACCCAATACACTCGACACTGCTTGGCCGAGACACTGCTTGGCCGCTACGACGCTAGATCAACCAAGGTCGATGGACCGCATGTCTAGACACGTGCCGTCTGGTATTGAGTTTCCCAACTGACGCAAACTCTGTGCTTGGCCCGTGATTAATCGGCGCTCAATGTCCATTGCCTCCTGTGCTTTCGGTGGTTTTTCTTCGAGGTGGCCGTCCTGGGCTTGCAAGCGCTCGATCATCCAAGACAACACTTTGGCGGTGACGACATATATGCCACACGCGAGCATGGTGCTAGCATAGCCACCCGTCTGCCACGTCATTTTCAATGCGGTCATCTCCGTGATCTCTCTGTGAATACATGCAGTGCGGGTCGATGGGTGATGCATGCTCGGCCGATTAGACCTGCGGCTGCCGTGGCTCATCCCAACGCAGGTATACAAAGCCATGTGCATCGATCCAATATATGCTCTCGTTACCACGATACCTCGGTCCAACTTAGACGTTGATGACACGTGCGAGCTTCTGGATGCGGTTGAGGAGCGCGTCGCCCTGCTTGATCGTCTCCTGGTACTGCGCGTTTTTGGCGTCCGGGCGGTTGGTCTCGATGACGCCCGAGACCTAAGCGAATTATTGTCAACGTCGTGGGGCACAGCTCCTAATGTGTCTACCTTGTCGATCTTGGCGTTCAAGCGGCCAGCGGCAATGAAGCGCGAGAGCTCGGCGTCCAAGAACGGGATGCCAACGCCAAACGATTGGGCCATCGACTGCATCGTGACGCTAGCAGCATAGGGTGAGAGGGTGCGAGGGAGACGCCGTTGCACCTTCGGTACGCTTGGAGAAACTGCGTGTACGCGAGGATGCGCAGCTCGCGGTAGATGAAGCGTGAGTGCGCCGCGAGGTACTTGTCGCGGTGCACGTACGGGTGGAGTTGCACTACGCAGCAGAGACGATATGCTTCGAGGTGGCGGTGAAGGATCGCACCCATGGCCGTAAAGAACTGCTTGTAGTTGCAGTTGTAGAGACCGTTGAGAAAGTCCGAGAGGTGCGGGATGTCGAGGATCACGGCCAAGACCTCGGACGAGTCGACAATCTACAATGTTGCATGAGACGACGACGACAAGGGTCTCCTGCATGAACGTACCTTCTTCTTGAGGTCGACGCGGTCCATGCTCAAGACGCACGTGATGACGGCGTAGAAGATCATGGTCGGGTACGACATGAGCTCCGTGCTCGTAAACGTAGCGACCGATTCCTACATGCGTGCAATCGTCGCATGTGACAAAGCTCATGGCATCTCGTACGTGGAAGAGCTTGGACGCCTTCTTGAAGTCGCGGGCCATGAGGAGGTAGCAGCCTTCGTAGACCTTGAGGCGGTTGCGGCGGTCCCAGTCGCCGCCTTCGTCGATGAGCGCGGTCGCCTTCTTGATGTGCGCTTCGACCAGCTCGAGGTCCGAAAAGAAGAGGCCAATGCGAATGATGTGGAGCTCGATGATGATCTTTTGGTTGATGGACGTCGGCTTGGTGAGCGCCGTCTTGAAGGCTTCCAGCACGTTGGCCTTGTCGCCGATCTTGGAAAACACGCGCGCGCGCGCGAGGTGCGTCTCGAGGACCTCAATGTCGCCGAGGTTGGCGATCGCATCTTCCAATTGCACGTCGAGCGCCTTGAGCTCGTCCTCGTTAGCCTTCCTAGAAGCGGCGCATGATGAGCCATGTCCAGGAGGCTCGAGCAATGTACTTCATGGTCGCGAGAAGCGCCGCATCGACGGGCCACTGGAACTCGGCGCAGAGCTGCTCATAGTACGGGCTCATGTCTATGGCCGAGGTGAGTTTCTGCGCGCAGGCCATGGGAAACGTACTGTCAGCTTGGATGTGCTCGAGAAGCTTGGCCTTGGCCGCCGAGACCTCGTCCGCCGAGACCGCCGCATGCGCCGAGGCCGACGCCTGCAGAAGGTAGTGCAGATGGGCAATCTCCATCTTGGGCAGCGTGCTGATGTCCTGCTCGAGGTCCTCCGAGACCTGCGCAGCGGTCTTGGTCGTCTTGTCGTCGGCGCCCATCGTGTCGAATATCCAAATATGGGGTCCGGAAAAAGTCTCTTGGAATGCATACCTCTATCCATTGCATTTGCATATCTATCGATAGATAGAAAATAACCTCGGAGACTCGATGGTGGCTAGCTGCCACGCCCCCTAAGCCGCCGTGCTATATATGTATTACCATGCTTCAAGACGCCGTCCACATCAACGGCCGTGGTAAGCACCGCCTGCTCCCAGCTACTACCGTGCTCGAGGCGCCGACATGGACAACGACCTGCCAGCCATGAGCAACGAAATGTGCATGAGGCATGTGCTCAAGGCGGTGACCAAAACCCGCCCGATCGTCTTTCGACCGCGGGACATGATCGCGGCTGAAAGCCAAGCGCGAGTGCATGAAGGTGCTCAAGAAGCTTGGGGCTGCGGGCGCGAAGAAGGCCATCGCGTCGTCGTCGACGGCGATTGCCCCGAGGATTGCGCGCTTCTTGGCACCGACCACTTCGCGGCCTTCCTCGAGCCGTGTCATGGCAACCCGCTCGGTCTCGTCAACGTGCTCGTAGAGTCGCAACACGATCAAGATGATCACCAGGTCAGCGCGCATGTGCTCGTCCAAGAGCCAGAGCCACGAGGCGATCACGAGCTCCGCGCTCCTGCACACATAGATGGGCTGCCGCACGGAGTCTATCGGGCGCGCCGTCCAAGTGAGCGCCGGCTCTCAAGCACGTCGTCAGCCAGTGCCGGACCACTGAGGCGACGGTGCATCCAAACGCTCGGTAGCACGATTCTCTTGCACGAGATGGGCGACCGGCTTCAACCGTGACCAGACTTTCAGGTCCAACCGATTTCATTTCTGGGCCAAGTGCAGCGATTGGACGGACGATCGACTCCATCTGTGCTGTGCTCCTCAACGTTGAAAAGGTTTTCCGTCGCGTCGGCACCGTCAGGTCGCAGGTTTCCACCGGCGTTTCTTCGCGCCATCCAGTGGTGCTGACGTGCATCCGGCACCGTACCACCAAGGACTAGCGCGCTGCCTGCCTTGTTCGACCTGGCACCTTGGACCATACTCTTGCGCGTCGTGGTTTGTATCGTCTGCGTGCACACGAGCCCATGTCGCGAGCGCGCAACAGCTTGGGACGTCCAATCCCTCGTACTTTAAGGCGGCGTCCTTTCCGTTCGGCTCATATACGCGTATGCTGATTTGGCTGCGTTGGCTCAGTCAAGGTCCTCCGTATTGCATGTACGAGAGTGAGCGCTCCATCCAATGCTAGTGTCGCCCTCGACACGTCGTGTAGTAGCAAGCTTCGCAGAGCTTCGTGTTGAGTAAGCGCTGGTTGTCGTCGCAGGTAGCTTGCCGGGAGGTTCGACTTGCGATCAAACGACACCCAATAGTCCCGGTAAAGTGCGGAAGCGTACTTGGCGCGACACAAAGGCAGCCGGCTGCCAGTGTGGCAATCTTCTGTCGATGATGGGCGTCTTGGACTGGATCGGCCTTGGCGTGCGCTACCTTCCTCCGCCCTGCGCGACTATACTATATCGTATCATAGGCAGAGAGCGACCTCGCGCGCGCGTCCTTTGCCGGCGACAAGAGCTACGTCAAGCGGCTCCTCGACCAAGGCGTGAGCCCCGACAGCGTCCGCCAGGTCTGCTGCTGCATCGCCGCGGGCCGCCGCTGACGTGCACTAGGGCTGCAACGCACTCTACTTGGCAATTACAACCGAGAACACCGCCATGGTGACGCTGCTGCTTGACGCTGGTGCCGACGCCAACGCCCGCACCTGGGTACGATCCCCGCATCTCGTCGTCGGGTCGGTAGCGCTTGCGTTATTAGTTTGGCCGACCACCGCTCGTCGCCGCCGTTCGCAACTGCCATGCTGCGATCGTAGAGCTTCTTCTCGTCGCTGGCGCAGCCCCCGATGCTTGCGACAAGGTAGTACTGTGCAGTGCGTCCAATACATCGTCCTAGCCCTGTTTCTAGTCGCGGATGCCACCGCTAGTTCTGGCAACCGCCGCGGGGGATGCTGCCATCGTCGAGCTCCTTCTGTGCGCTGGCGCCAACGTCGCCCATACGTCGCCGGTACAAATACGATGCATCGAGTGACTCCAACTGCGTCATTCCAGAAAGGACAGTCGGCGCTGTACGTGGCTGCCGAGCGAGGATACGACGATGTCGTTGCGCTTCTCCTGCCTCGCGTTCAAGCGACGACGCAGTCGTTGGTATCTCGAACGAGCCTCGATGCCTTGGTCGCTGACGCTGCATGTGGCTAGGCGGACGCCATGGTCATTGCGGCAACCAACGGACGCACCGCCGTCATCGAGTGCTTCCTGGCGACGCATGCGCTTTCGACGCAGGTACTCTATTGCACTATCGCAATTGTCTTTGTACATGTTGGTGCAGGACGATGCGGAAGCCTTGTTGGCAGCCGCCGCCGCCGGCCATGAAACGATCGTGCGCCGCTTGCTCTCGTTTGGCGTCCCTATCGACTCGACCGACGCGGTAGTCTAATTGGTTTGGAGGTTAGTCGATGTCGCAATCTCGACGATGACTAGAAAGGGAAGACCGCGCTGCTCTTGGCCGCCGAGTATGGGCGCCTCTCAGTTCTGACCGTCTTATTGGACGCCGGCGCCAGCGTCAACCAGCTCGACACGGTACACCACCAGCGACAGCGCACATTCCATCCACTTTCACCATTAGGTTTGCATGCAATTTTGGAGCTATATGGCGACGTGCAACTAGTTTGGCGAGTCGTCGCTCTATGTCGCTGCCCGGGGGGGTCATGTCCCAGTCGTCACACGCCTGCTATCGACCAAGCCGGACCTCAACAAGCACAACAAGGTACGACCTTCTCTCTTGTCATCAGCACCGAAAACAACCATGTCCCGCTAGGTAGGAACTTGAACAGAGCGACTCGCGACGTCTTTGGTAGAACGGCGTGTCGGCGCTCGTGGTGGCCATCGCCAAGGGCCACGGCGAGATTGTGCGGCAGCTGCTTCTCGCCGGCGCCTCTCTCGCGCCTTCGCGCCTCGTACGTTGCTTCTTGATGCCTCTGCTGGACAGGCCCATGTAGTTTGATCCGTTCACGGTTGCGCGCAACCACGGGCACGACGACATTCTCCAAATGCTTTCGGAAGCGACGGCCATGGTCCTCCTCCTTGTCTCTTGCATCACAGAGGTTTATATCGCACTTGTAGGCCAACGAGCTGCCGCGGCTCCAGATCCTCGGCCGCGGCCACCAAGGCTTTGTCTACCGCAGCACCTTTCGCGGCGACCCCGTTGCGGTCAAGTCGGTATTTGTGCATCACGGCGAGTCGACGTCGTCCTTGGCCACGGCTGTCGCCGCCTTGACCAAGTAGGCAACGCTCTACAGACTCGGACATAGGGTGACGATGGGCCGTAGACTCGACTGCGTCCACCTCGTGCGGCTGCGCCACCTCCAGCTGCCGCCATTGGAGCCGCCGCTGCTCGTAATGGAGTACGTCGACGGCGGCCATCTGCGCCACTACCTCGATACGCACAAGGGCGCAACTTTTGCGAGCTTGCTGCCGATTGCAACGTCGATGGCCCACGGACTGCGCTACCTCCACGAACGGGACATCGTGCGACGCGCCTTGAAGAGCACCAACGTCTTGCTGCCGCCACGACCCCG